TATATTAAAGTTTATGTTGCTTTTAAAACCTTTCACATATTGATTCATAAGGGATCCAGTTTGAGCAAAGTTCATTTGGTCGGCCATGACCTAACAACACCAATCTCTCATGTATGGCCTATGACCTATGTAATCCCTTTATAAAACTCACAAAAGGGGAGAACATAATAGGAGTTTCTTTTTGTTACACCAATCAAACTCATGTTTGAAATATAACTAGTAAATTAGGCATTACATACGAAAAAAATATAGTTATACAATATGGTATAATACAAAAAAGGAATGTAAAAATGGTAGAAATAAATCAAAATCAAAATTTTAATTATATGAATTTGATCTATTGATCAATTGATTCTGATAATACACCGTAAAAAATTACTATAGGAACGATTTTTCTCGTTCAGATTGTTCTATTCACACTATGAGGATTTGTTTTTTGAAAGTAGGACTATGATATATTCATTTGTCGAAAGCATCATCAACGTCGTCTTGTCAGATACATACTGAATAAATACATTCAAGACTATCATAAGTAAAATATAACAATGATTTCCTCGTGACATGAAATTATTGTTTTACCCTTATACGAGGGAATACAAATTTGTAGGACCCGAAAATGACCCAGTTTTAGATTCAGTTTGACTAAAACGCATTAACCCTAATTAATTAGATTTCCTCGTGATTACTTTAGTCTTTGTGTCGCTGCTTTTATTATCATCATTATTAGAGAAGTCAACCTCTTCTTTGGAAATTGAAATAGATCGCTTTCGGTTATGCGATTAAACAAAGACTAATTGACTATTTAGAAAGTGATTAGAGGCTAAGAGTTTAGATTGATTTGTACGTGACGTTCATATCAAACGGATGAGCATCGTCTGGTGTAGTATATGAAAATATTTTGTTAGTAATTTTTTATATTGCAAATAAAATTAATTTTAAATTAAATAAGATTAAAAGTATATTATAAAATAAAATAATAAAGCATAGTTCACACCTTTAAAGATATCGAATGAGATATCTTAAAAGATTATAATTTATTATTTCAATTTTTTTTAAAATGAATATATTTTGTTCGTTTCTACTTTTGCATACGAGCTTAGACCAGTCGCGGGTCCTCCACAATGAGGGCTTTCTCGCGTGGGCTTGTAGGTCACGTCGGAAAGTGACGAATTTAGAAGAATTATTTAGGGTATGTTTGTTTCACTAAAAACGTTTTTCAAAAAATATTGAATTACAATTTTTGAAAAATATTTTACGATGTTTGGAATATGTTTTTAAACTCTTTTTCCACTAGTTGATGAATTTTTTAAAAATTATTTATTACAAATATTAAATACAATAAATAATATTATTTATCATAAAATTTAATATTATTATTTTTAAAATATTAAAATAATATATTTATTATTAAAATATTTTTTTTATAATTTTATTAATAAAAATATTAATATTGGTATATTTATTGAAATAAAATATTATAAATTATATTAATTATTTATTAAAGAAATAGTGTTATATTATATTTTAAAAATATTAATTAGTATATTTTAAATATCTTTATTAAAATATTTTTATATTAATCTTAAATATATATATATATATATAATATTATTCATTATTAATTATATAATATTATTATTTCTATGAAATTAATAATAATATAAATTTATTAATAATTTATTATATACTATTAAAATAAAAATATAATATCTTATATTATTATAATATAATTGATTATTTTATTATAATATTAAAAATATAATATAATATTATTAATAAATATTAATAAATATATTTTAAATATTTTAATAATTAATATTTTGATTAAAATGATATTAAAATATTTTATTAATATTAAATTCATAAAATAAAATTATTTTGAGTATTTATTCTTTGAAGTTAAAAGTTCAGAAAATGACTTAAGGAAAATTAGACCGTAAGTCATTTTCCATAAAACACAAAAGAAATTCTGTTGACCAGGAAAATATTTTACGTTGACCAACTAGTTTTCCTCCAACCAAACACCGGAAAATGAGGAAAATATTTTCCGAAAAACGTTTTACGTGAAACAAACGAACCCTTAATATATGAATTGATAGTTTTTTGTATAAAAGAGACACTAATGAAATTTTAGGGTGGATATCACTGATAAATGAACAACAAAAATAAAAAAATCGAATTTCAAGGTGGGCTGCCCGCCTTAGAGTATACATGCATTTGTCACTGATGGGAGGTGTCTTGAAGGCTTTAAAATAATATTAGAACTAAAAATAAACCGAACATTCAGCAAAATATTTGTAAATAGTATGATGAAGAATTCATTTATTTATACTTTTTAAAAGATTTTGGCTTTATTTTAAAGAAATTTATATTTTATGTTCGTTTGTTTTTATTTATCATTTTTAATGAACTAATATAAACGAATACGAATAAAAAATTCTATTTATTTAGTTTTTCATGTTTTCTCGTTTATTTAACTAAAGTTAAATGAACATATATGAATATATCTTCGTTAATGTTTGTTCGATTCATCTAAACATGTTAATATTTAATTTTGTTTTAAATATTATTCAAATTAAATTATGATTATGTTAATAGTTTGTTTTGTTTTTTTCAATGTAAACTGCTCTCTCATTTTTATTTTAAAATTCAATATATATTTACATTTTAACATTTTATTTTGAATTATGTATAATATTTATTTATTTTCGGAAAGAAGAAAAAAAGTCATTGGCTTTATTTCTTCACGTCACGTCAACTTCTGGACATGTTGGCTTCATGTTTTTTTTATCTTTTAACTTTTTAAAAAATTGAAATTAGCATAAATTTGAAGAAAAAATTGAGGTGAATTATTTAAATTATTAATTTTGGTCTATTTTTATACCTAAATTTTTATTTTCTCAAAACTATATATAATGTTTAGTTTTTGTTTCATTTTAGTATTCCTTTTCAAAATTTAAAGTTAATTTTTGAAAAAAATAAAATAAAAGTTTAGGTGTTAAAATGAGTCAAAACTATTAGTTTAGGTATTAAACACGTTAAGTTTTTTAACGATAGGTATTAAAATGAAACAAAAATTAAACGTTAGATATGATTTTAAAAATTAAAAGTTAAGGTACTAAAATGGATCAAAACTAATAGTTTAGGTACTAAATGCGTAATTTACCCAAAAATTTATTAGTGTGATTCCAATCCTTCAAAAATCAAATAATATTTATCAACAAATACTAATTATATTGGATGAAGTAATTAATTAGAAATTAATTGAAAGGTAGGAAGGAAGTACTGGGCACATATGGAACATGGTCGAGCTTTTGGAACATTAAAATTGAAGTTTTTATCTCTATTTATAAATACAGAGATTCATGAGATAAAATAATAAGAAAAAAAACTAAAGGATCAAATCGAATCGCATCAAATTTCAGGTAAAAGTTAAGGCAAATGTGTGGAGAAGCTTTGTTGGTCCCAAGATTTGCTTTGCCACTCCTGCAGATCTCTCTTTGTCGTTTTGGTCACCTTTTCCTTCCACCTTCTGCGTTTTATATCTTCCCTTCCATGTCATTATCCCCTCCAAATCTTTATTTATTTTCCTTCTTTTACCTCTTTTATAAATAACAAAATAATTCCATAAAAAAAAATAAAACCATAACAATTTTAATAACTCATAAACTAGTAAACAACAACAACAAAACACTATTTCCATATGTAATGGGGTAAGGGGGAGGTAGGGTAGTAGGCTGGTCCTAAACGCAAGGTTGAGAGCAGTTTCCGTGGAAGACCTCCGACTAGGGATGTAAATGAGACGAGACAGATCATGAGCTACTCGAGATTGACTCGATCAAGGCTCGATAAACACTCGGATCGAATGGACTCGACTCGAGCTCGAGTTCTTAACGAGCCGAAACGAACTACTCGATATTCGACTCGAAAAGCTCGTGAGCAGCTCGAAAATATAATATATTAAAATTTTATTTTTTAGAAATAAATTATTAATAATATTAATATTTATGTATTGCTTTTTTTATAAAAAAAAATACAGTAAGATTTCTTGTATTTAATGTTCATGTTCAAGTTTGAGTTTGAGGCTTCAATCGAGTTAAGTTTAAATTTTTTTTTTCATTTCGAGCCTTTTCGAGCTACTCACGAGCTTCAGTTTAGGATTTCGAGTTCGAGTTCGAGTCGAACTTGAAAATTTTAAGCTCGCGAGTTTTTGAGTCGAGTCGAGCTTTATTTCAAAGTTTTCGAGTCGAGCTCAGCAATACTCGAGCTCGACTCGGCTCGTTTACACCCCTACCTCCGGCAGTCAGAAAAATTAAAAATAAAGATAAAATGCAATACATGTATAAGTAAATAAATAAATACATAGTTGAACATTCTACATATGCGCGTCTGTAATGGGGAGTAATCCCTACAAATAAATCTCTGCGTACAAATCTCTGCATATAGACAGAAACGTAGAACCTGACTAAATTTAAAAAGAATAAACTTAAAAAGAATACTACACAAAAGTCAACGATAGCAACTCATAAACTAGTAAATGAGATGGAAATTTTATATCTATAATTGTATAGAATAAATTTATATACTATACATACATTTGATCGAAGTCTTATAATTTTTATACTCTCGTGATTTAATGTTAAAATGTAAATAAATATTGGAAAATTCATTACAAAGAAGAGATTTTTAAGATGTTTTTATATTATGTCGCCGGTTTGGGAGCCGTGTCGGATTTGACGGCGCGTTCCCACACTGACCTCCGGTCACCTTCGCCGGAACCGACAACTTCAACGTTTCTCGAGATTTTAGATCACGAGAAAATGATTCCCTAGACGAGATAATCAAAGAGGCACAAAAAAGTGGATTTTCGAATCCCAGCAACTATTGAGCCGTCCCTTCCTTTGTAATAAAAAAAAAAGATTTTGTGGATTTTTTAGAGAGAGAAAGATTTGATTTGAGAGAGAAAACGAAAATTAAATTAAAAAAAAAAACTAAAGAAAATGAAACATCGCTGCATATAAAAAGCCAGGCATATAGCAATGGGTAACTCTGTTTATTAAAGTTAAAATCTTTTTCTTCTTTTCAAAAGAATTCTGTGTTTGTGTTCTCCTTGGGATGGCGGTGAACGGCGCCGTTACTTGGCTGAGGAGGACGGAGGAGATCGACGGCTACGATCTTTCAGCTTCTGATTCAGAGGAAGTCCATGTCCTCGCCGTCGATGATAGCCTCGTTGATCGGAAAGTAATTGAAAGGTTGCTGAAAATTACTTCTTGTAAAGGTTGGTCATCGAGATTCCCATTTTCTTTTCACTTTAATCATTCTTTTGAATTTGAATTGAATGGGATTCCGGATTGTTGCAGTGACGGCGGTGGATAGTGGCCGGAGAGCTTTGCAATTCCTGGGATTGGATGAGGAAAAAGAAGCCAATGGTTTTGATGTGAGTTCTGCTTTGAATTTGAATTTCATCAACGTCGTTGGTGTTCTAATTCTATGGTTTTTCAGCTCAATCTTTAGCATTTGTTCATGAATTTCAGGGTTTGAAGGTTGATCTGATCATCACAGACTACTGCATGCCTGGAATGACCGGCTACGAATTGATGAAGAAGGTTAAGGTTAGAAAGAAAACCCAAATTCTGGGAATTCGTTTTACTTTGCAATGTTCATCCGAATGAATGTTGTTTAACATGAACAGGAATCATCTGCTTTTCGAGAAATTCCGGTGGTGATCATGTCATCGGAGAACGTCGTAGCTCGAATCGACAGATGTTTAGAGGAAGGGGCTGAGGATTTCATAGTGAAACCGGTGAAGTTATCAGATGTGAAACGCATAATAGATTACATGGCAACATACTTCAGGGAGGGAGAAGAAAGAAGAGGAGGAATCAACAAGAGAAAGATAAGAGACGAGGGCGATGATCGATCTTCTTCATCGCCGCTGTCCACTTTGTGGTCGTCGTCGTCTTCTTCCTCATTGCCGACGGCACCGTGTTCTCCGTCGACACTGGATTCTCCGACCAGAAGTCTGAAAATGACATGCTTTGAAGAACATATTTTTACTGATAAAAATTGAAACTTTTTGGATGAGACCAAATTGATAAGAAATGATATGGGAGTCGTAGTGTTGTGCTGTATTGTTCCCAGAAGAGGGGAACTACCTCTATGGTTACCGTCTCATGGCAGATAAAGCTTTTTCTTCCATCAGAATTGGTTGGGTATAATACATTTATATTGTTATATATTCTTTTTATATTTATATATTTTTTAAAAATTTAAAAATTCACATTCCATGAAATCTTACCTCCATTCATCTTATTGCTAACCACTGTTGGGCACAACTGCCGATACTAGATTTGATACACTTCCTGTATGTTGTAAAAACGGGATAATTAACTCGGGAAATCCACACGCAGTAAAGCAAATAAAAAACGTAAGAATTAACAAGGTTCAAAAATATGCCTACATTCTCGAGAGTGATGAGCGATTGTTCTCTTTATTATTCGTAATAAATCAAAAATTAGGTTACAATTACAATATATAAGAGTAATCCCAATACATTTACAAAAATTTCCTGTACAATTATAAAAATACCCCTTAGGAGATGAAATAGAAAAAAAAAACTTGATAGTTTATCAAACATCCAAGTGGGTTGGGATACCATACTTTTCTAGCCACTGTAAGCATTCAACAAATCCAAGCAATGCATGAACTTGTTAGTAGTAACTGACTTGGTCAACATATCAGCTGCATTCTCACTAGTATGAACCTTCTGTAACAATATCTCTCTAGATGCAATCGGCTCTCTAATCTTGTGAAACCTCATATCAATATACTTAGTTCTAGCATGATACACTTGATTCTTAGCCAAATGAATAGCAATTTGGCTATCACAATGCAATTGAACTCCACCTTGTTGAACACGCAATTCCTTTACTAGCTCAGTAAGTCATAAAGCTTCTTTTGCAGCTTCATCTACTGCCATGTATTATGCTTCAGTTGTAGATAATGTCACAATAGACTGAACAATTGACTTCCAACATATAGGCCCTTCACCAAGAGTGAAAACATACTCAGTTGTAGATCTTCTATCATTCAAGTTACATGCATAGTCTGAATCCACATATCATACAACCAAAGGATTATAATGTTGACTACCAAAAATAATTACATTCTCTACAGTGCCCTTTAAATACCTGAAAATCCACTTGACTGCTTCCCAATGTCGCCTATCTGGTTTAGATATGTATTTACAAACTTGACTAACAACATAAGCTAAATCAGGGCGAGTACATACCATTGCATACATCAAGCAGTCAATAGCACTGGCATTTGAAACCTTTGCCATGTGAACAATTTCCTTATCTGTCTTAGGGCATTGTTCTGGAAAAAAAAAAAACTTAAAATGACTTGCCAATGGAGTGCTTACCGGCTTTGCATTGCTTTTCTCAAACATGTCTAACACTTTCTCAACATAGCCCTACTGAGATAACCACAGTTTCCTTGAGCCTCTATTCTTGTGAATCTTCTTTCCAAGAATTTTCTTTACAGCACTTGTAGCAATGAATTTTCTTTTTGCCCCTAGACTTTGATATGGAATTTCTTTTTCCAGACCTCTCATTCTCTGCTTTTCTTCCACGGTCTTGATTACCCTTAATATATAAACTATCAGCATGAGAGCTTTCCCATTCATTCTGCTTTTGCTGGCTGTGAGCCAACAAGGCTGCAGTAATCTTTTCAACATTGATTGTTTCTTTCCCATATATAAGAGTAGCATCATGTGTTCGTAAGAGGAATGCAATGGACACAATAAAATCATTGCTCTGTCTTTATCCTCAATCTTCACATCAAGTTGAACTAAATCTGTAATTATTTGATTGAGAGCATTCATGTGCTCCGCCAAATCATGACCTTCTTGCATCTTCATCCCATACAGCCTCTGCTTTAGATATAATTTATTTGTTAGGGGTTTGGACATAAGCTCACTTTCCAATTTCGTCCATATTTCTCTTGGAGACGGCAGACTCATTACGTGATACATAACCTCGTCTGCCAAATATAAATGTATGGTTCCTGCTGTTCGCTGCTGCAGTTCTTCCCAATCATCGTCATGCATCGATTCTAGCTTTTGAGGTCGTAGAGCCTTCAAAATCCCTTGCTGCGCCAACAAATATTTTACCCTCGTTTGCCATAATCCGAAGTTACCGTGACCATTAAACTACACCACTTCAAATTTCACACCTAACATAGTCATCTCAAACTTTGCTCTTGATACCAATTGTTGTGAAGATGGGCTAATTAACTCAATAAATCAACAAGCAGTAAAGCAAATAAAGAACACAAGATTTAATGAGGTTCGACATTGTGCCTACGTCCTCGGGAGCAATGAACAGATGTTCTCTTTATTATTCGAAATAAATAAAAAAATCAGGTTACAATTACAGTATAAAAGGGTAACCCTGGTACAATTACAAAAATACCCCATATTGTACAGTAGGGCTTCGCCCTCGCACTCCTAACCCACTTAATCCTAGTTCACAAACAGTAACGAAACTTCCCTAATGGACAGATACTGGAGCGGAGTGAACGAAGCGAACGTAGCTTTAACATCTGTCCTCCAACTGCTATATGAGCCATACCTAGCATTGTCCTCCAACTGCTATATGAGCCATACCTAGCATTGTCAGACTTTGATCCTTTATTATCCTGCAACCAACTTTACCATCACAAGTATCCACTGCTCTACAATTTTAATTTTAACTATTGATATCTCATTTATTATTAAATTAATTTAAATAAAATATTATAAATATATATTTATAAAAATAATCCTTTTAATTTAATTTAACTTGTTCTATTATTAACATCAAAGGGATATGTGTATGTCAATGCCAGGACCGGCATGTTCATATTACAGACTCTCAAAGGGCCCAAAACAAGACAACAGCTCCACCCTGCCAGCTAGCCAGCCCGCCGGCATTGCACATGCCTCGTCTTCTTCTTTCATTTTAGTTGCTAGCTGGCTCGAATTGTCTAGTTTTATTCCTTACCCTTTCTCTTTCTGTTCTGTTTTTTTTCCAAGATTATATCTTAAACTCTCAATTAACAAATCACCCGAATCGACTTGAACCTGTAACACTGCAATAATTTCACTCGTCACACACTTGTTCATGGTTTCATCAACATGCTCATATTTCGAGCCCCCCTCCTTCCCAACCAAAAAAAAATGTGTAAAATGTAGGAAAAATATGAACCAATGACTAAAACACAATAGAAGGATCGGGTCACTTACAATTAACAGCAGACTTTTTAAAATTTTAAATCGCTTTCATTACTGTCGTTTCCATAGGTTACTATTAAGAAAAACTAACATGTCATGTTAACGTCTATTTTGGCACTACTCATCTTCTTCGTCACGATATCCTCCATTTCCAGTTCCCATCAACACCATTCATCTTCATCATCACCAAACAGTGCTTGTATCAACAGTTATATCATTGTTCGACTTCTTTCCAATTGTAAAGGATCATTGATTCCCCCTAATTAGCTGGTGAAGAGTCAGGTTCTGACGATTATCCCTCTGTGGAGATCTCAAAATCCATGCCCTAAGATAAAAGTGATGAAAGATTTAAAGAAAACTGGTGATGTTGCATGTATTGAACATGTATCATGCAATAATATCTAAAAGTAAACTTGTGAATTCATTCACAATTTCTATGAATAATTTCATAAAATTTTAGTAGATACTCGTACATATTTAAGATTAACAGGAATTAGATTATAACTAATTACAATATTTATTATAAATTGTTCTATAGAAATATTGAAGATCTTAGATGATCATTCACTGTTGATTTAAAGAGTGTTGTTAGCCCCTTGAAGCGGAGCTACGAGACATTTATGAAAGTTTACGAGTTGCGTGGGATATGAACAATTGAACGGGAAGGATATTGTCGTTGAGACGGACATCAAGGAGCCACTTGTGGTGATTGGTAAGAACCGACAATCCATGGTGTTTCCTCGTTGGTTCCACATATACATGAACTGGTGGATAGGGAATGGAATTTGTCCTTCAGATTGTACCTAAATCGGCTTGGAGCTTACCCTTCGGTTTCAGTTGCTACAGACTCGTCCCTGGATAGTGATTGAATTTCTAAATGGTAATAGTCCTCTGCAACAGGCTCAGAATGATGATAACTAGACTTTTCGTAGCTTTTTCAGTTTATGCATCACTCTCCTTTTATTCTAAAAAATTAGAAATATTATTTTAATAAAATTTAATTAGACGTAAGAGATATCCATATCATTAAACCTAAATGCATGGAACATGTTTCCGCGGGGTTCATATCTATGGAAAGCTACCTGGAAGAAGTTGTTGTCTGCCTTTGAGAACCGAAAAAGTTTGCGGGGCGATGGTTCTAAATACACTTTGACAAGCTTTACTTGGGCCTTTAAGGTAAGAATTTTTATATTATAATGTTTCCAAAATTATAATTAATTATTTAACAATTACTAATGTTTGTGTATTATATTGTTTGTATATTTAGATATTTGAGGCTTTCCCCAGCATGCGGACATATGCGATAAAAAGATCAAATGATATTCCTAGGGCTATTACCTGGAAGAGGATCCGCATGTTGGATTGGGAAGAGTTATTCACATATACGACGATGAATGATGTAAGTTAACACACAAATAATACCATATAAACAAGTTATTACTAGTACAAGTTTAACTTTGTTTGAGCTTTTATATTGTTAGGTGGCCAACTATCCATTACAGAGGCTGACACCCACAGAGGCTGAGCTTGCCACTGATTGGTGGCAAGCAATTAAGCAGTTTTTTGATGGGACGGATGATGAGCACCCCCCACCTCGAGAGTCATCACCTGATCGAGCCGATTCTACAGCTCGACACCCGGAGCCATCACCTGATCGAGCCTCTTCTCCACCTCCACCATCACCTATTTCATCACACCATCGAGCTTCTTCTCCACCATCACCTCATGATAGGCGACCGGCAAAGAGGCCACGACATTTATCTCCATGTTCTCCATCTCCACGGGATGAGTTAGGGAAATTACGTGATGAGGTCGGTGCTTTGCGTCATGAGGTCGGTACTTTACGTGAAGATAATGGTA